CATTAGTCGAATCCTCGTTATTATTTCAGAAATAAGAAAGTGTAAGGTGAAAAATAACAGAAAATTTCCGTTTTTTACACCTAATGACTTCGTATTTTCCTGCTTTTCTCCAACTAGTACTTATCATTTGTTTGATTTATGTACGCCATCTTCTCGGGCTGCTGGAGTAATCGTTTTCTTTTTTTTTTCTCAAGCAAAAAAGGTACGTAATACAGATTAAAAAAAACAAATTTATAAATTTTACTTTTCGTCAAACGGATCTTCTTGATGCCAAAAATCGAGTCTTAACACCGTGGCAATCAAATCGACTAAAGCAAAACATGCGGCTCGGCTTAATTTTTCATGTAAAATTAATGATGGACATTCGAATGTTGGTGTATTCGTTCCAGCTGAGCTTCCAAGCGATGCATCTAAAAAAAAAAAAAAAAAAAAGAATTTTTTTAAATCAACAAAACTCATGAAATTTTGACTTTACCAAGATAAGTAATTCTATCTTGAAAGGCAGATACACAGTAGTTGTGCCGGCAAGCTGAATCTGGAGCACAAGAACCAAGGATCACTATTTATTCTTTTCGATTATAATCTTAGCAGCTAGGAATATATACTACAAACAAAAAATTAATTCCAATAGTTAAGAAGAAATTAAATCTACATTTTTGTATAAAAAAGGCAGATAGGAATGATTTGAAAATGCTATATAAATGCAAAAATCGAACCGAAACTGCATGAAGAATAAAAAAACAGACCTGATGAATGACTTTTTGGGAAAAGCGAAAATGTTGCATCTTGCGAATCATCCACAGGCGATTTATCAGTAGCCATCTTGGTCACTCATAACACTATCACAATCCTTTATTATTCCCTGAAAATCAGTGAAAAAATTGCTCGGAATTCGGTATAACTAATTTTTTTTTTTTTTTTTTGACGTATACCATGAGAGCTTTGATGTCACGTTTGGAGTATTTCTCACGCAACTATTTTTTTTTCAATTATAACTTAAATTTTCAAGTAACTGTGACAAGAACTTCGTTTTAAGAAAACAGGCTAATTATTAATGAAGTCTCTTCTCGAAAACTGCTATGTGCCGGGAAAAATCGAACCACTCCTTTTCACATCCGGATACGATATGCTATCCACTACACCACCAACCTTTATACTCCAGGACCCGTGTGGCAGTACATCTACTGTGTATCTGTCTTTTAAGGAATTGTTTGCTTCCCATAAGCAGTATACACTTCTTTTCCTTAGTGGCAGTTTCTTCTTTGTCGGCTTTTCGCGATTTTACACGATAATTACGAGGCACCTTTAGAAAGAGTCGAAATTTCGGCGCGGCATGTGATTTTTCACCGGCATCACAAAGCTGCTATGATGTTCTCGGCGTACTCCACACTCTACCTAAAATTTGGTTTTTCACGATTTTTATAAAAAAACTAGAATTTTTGACGTTTTATTTTTCATTTTTTATCTAACACTTTTTTATCTCTCTTCTTCATTTTCTGTAGATTTTTTCAGTAAAATTAAGGGTCAAATTTGGATGGTTATTGATTTTCCCATGAAACATAGCAAGACAAAATCCTAGGTCCATTAGTTTTCATATTGCGCATCAATTAAATTCTCAATTATAGGATTAACTCTAAATGAAGATTAACTTAATCGCCTTTCACAGAAACGTTCATTAGCTTTTTTATAGCTTTTTTCACTTCGGGTAGGCCAAAAATCCCGACAGAATTTTTCCCAGTATCATTTCATCCTGAGGTAAATTTGACCCTTTTTCCCATAATTAAATGAGAATAGCGAAAAAATAATGGAAAAAAAAAATCAGAATCCTGTAATGAATACGGGGCTAACCACAGTTAAAATCCCATTTTCGGTGTAACCAAAATCATCATTTTCTTGCATTGGAGGATCCGACCCTTCTCCAGGGGATTAGGTAGCAGTTATTTTGCTGTAGAAAAGTCTACTTGAAATCTCCGTCACTTTCCCCCTCTACCCTCTCTCCCCACCAGGAGCTCGCCTATGTTTTCTAGCACCTTTTGCCGTTTTTTCTCCGATCAGATTCCTCAGTTTTTGTGCTCAATTAAAGTTTTAGCGTATTCTAGCCCAAACTGATGCCGCCACTTTGCGGCCCCAACCATAGTATCGTTTTTTGACAAATCCTCTTAGCTCAAAGATACTTTTGCCTCCGAAAAAAACCGAAACGTATCAAGAATTCCGAAAAAGCAGCCGATATTATTTCAAGAAAGAGCGCCTTCTTTGATTTTCACCGCCCCTTCCTTTGCTCGGAAAATATGAAAAGAGGCGCTGGGGTAGATAAGAAGAAGCGGTGCTCTTTCATCTGAGTGTCGGCTTCTTGCAAAATTCCAGATAACTGCCGGATTTTTCATTTTTTTCCCCCGAAAAACAAGGCATTTACTCGGCGGAGGGAAAAATATGAAAGTTCGGATTCAGCTTACTAGTTTGCCTAGCACAGTCGCTAAATAACGTTTTTGGATTAACATCAAATATGCAAAAAAAAAAGAGAAAAAAAACAAAAATTTCAGTTACAAAAAGATTATAACCGCGAATACGTAAATATGTACACCAATAAAAAACACATCAAAATTTTTATTTCTCCGTTACAACCAATGCTTCCCATAGAATCAATGAAACAAAATCCGTTTTTCACTCATCGCCCCCTCCCCCTCCCCTCCCCTTCCCCCGCAATAAGCTTAGGTCTGAGGGAAATTCGTTTTCGGTCAATTCAGCGATTTACTAAATTTATGCATCAGCAAATGGTACTTTCCGAAATCTGCTAAAACTACGTCCCTACTCGATGAGGGCAGTGCTCCGATGATCTCAAGTACGCTTAAGTTGAGGTTTTTGACGATCTCGCCCTCCTTAGCTTTCTGAGTACCAATCCAGGCCACTATCGATAAATCGAGAAATCAATATCGAAGAGAACAAAGACGAATTAGTAATAAAAAATACACACCAACATATATTACTGGAAAAGATTTAGTTTTTTTTTCACAAGTTAAATATTAACAAAACTTTTGGATTATCTCTATCATCCCCTCATAATCTGTAAATTTTCCAACCTTTTCGAGAAAAAAATATACCTAGCATGCGGGAAACGGAGTGGAAAATTGAAAAATTTTGCCACAGAAAAGAACTCCCTCTTTTCTCTTAAAAAATATGGAGCTGAAAAATGAACTAGCCAGAAGGCGTAAAAGATCGCTAAACAAGATAGAATTTAATTAACTCGGGATGCCCTCCCCTTTTCCTCCCCCCCCCCCCCCAAAAAAAAAAAAAAA